TAGATTACATTGATGGATTTCCATATATTGAACCACCCCTGCATACCTGGGATGAAGCCTACTTGGCCATGGTAGATGATACCTTTGATATTTTCTTGGATTTGGTATGTGAATATTTTTGCATCAATGTTCATAAGGGAGATTGGCCTGACATTCTCTTTCTTTGTTGAGTCTTTGTGAGTTTTAGGTATAAAGGTGACTGTGGCTTCATAAAATGAGTTTGGTAATGTTCCTTCTATTTTGTGGAATACTTTGAAGAGGATTGGTATTAGCTCTTCTTTGAAGGTATGATAGAATTCTACGCTGAAACCATCTGGCCCTGGGCTTTTTTTTTTTTTTTTTTTTTTTTTTTGGATGGGAGACTTGATGACTGCTTCTATTTCCAAGGGGATATAGGACTATTTATTTACCTGGTTTTGATCCAGTTTTGGTAAGTGGAATCAATGAAGGCAATTGCCCATTTCACTTACATTTTCAAAGTTTGTGGAATACAGGCTTTTGAAGTAAGAGCTAATGATTGTTTGGATTTCCTCAGTGTCTGTCTTATGTTCCCCTCTTTTTTTTCTTTCTTTTTTTTTTTTTTTACTTTTTAAATTTTTATTAATTACAGTGTATTCACTCTTTATTCCCCCTGTACCTCCCTCCCTCTTCCCCTCCCAAACCCACCATTCCTTTTCCCCACCCTTGTCCCTCTCCCAGTCCACTGAGAAGAGAGGTCCTCCTCCCCTTGTCTCACTGTTTTCTCCTATTTTTCCTTCAATTCCTTTACCTGTTTGTTTGAACATTCCTCTGTTTCTTTTATTTCTTTCATTATTTTAATATTTCCTCTCTGAAGACCACAAACTATTTCCCTGCATCTTCTTGTATTTCTTTATGGATGGCCATACTGTGTTTGATTTTATCTTCCTCTATTTCTCTATGAATTTTGTTTCCTCTATTATCTTCTTTATAAGCATAAATGTGTGATAGGGTGTTCAGGCTTGCTTGCCCCTTGATAACTGAGTTCTGGTGATGCCATATTGCTTTGGCTTTTGTTGGTTGTGCATTTATGCTGGCGTCTACCCATCTGGCTGTCTCAGGTGTTGGCTGTTAGTTTCTGGTGCCTGCTGGAATCCTGGGGTGGGGGGAATCCCCTGGGCAGGAAGATGGTTGTTCCTGAAGAAGGTCTCCTCAGCTTTTTGGGTATGGTCACTGATTGGCTGGTGCTTCTCAGGAAGTGCCACACCCCACTTCAGGCATATGGATCTGTGGGGTGAATGTGGTGGTTGGTACTTAGGGAGGGTGTCGTCTACTAGGAGAAGTCCTGGTGACAGCTGCCCTGCCACTGGGTTTCTTGCTCTGAATTTAGTGATCTGCTGCTGCTGCTCTTACATTGTGTTTCTTGGGCACAGCCCTCTTGAAGAACCAGGGAGCCCCATGGTTTGCTTAGTTTAGTTAGGGATACTTCTTGCATCTTGGAACAGTATGTGGGGGCTGATACCATGAATCCTAGGCTTCTGTAGGTCTCAGGTTGGAACTCTATGCCCCAGTACCCAAGTGGTAATCAACAAGAAGCTAGATCCTGGATCATGCAGAACCCAGAAACTTTTCTGGAGCTGGGTGTCCTGAATTCTGACCTGATGTTTCCCCCACCATGGGGTTTCCTCCCAACAGGGAGACTCAGTCTGTGGTGATTTGGGGTCCACAGTTTAGTCTGAGATGGTGAGTAGAGCAGGCAGGCACAGGTAAATGGCTCTGTGCTGGTGAATGGGTGCCTGCAAGAACCCCAGAACTTTATTGGAGAGCTTTATGTGGGGTGGGTTCAGCTGAGTGCCCTGAGGTCAGTCCTGATGTTTCCCTCACTGTGGGGTTTCTTCCCCACAGGGAAACCCAATATCTGGTGCTCTGGGGCCCATAGTTCTGTCTGGATTGGTGGGTCGAGCTGAGCTCCTGCAGGAGGCTGTGACCTATTCCAGAGATTGTCTGGGTGACCTGAGGCTGGTCCTGATTGTTTCCTTCACCTTGGGGTTTTCACTTGACTGGAAAATCCAGTCTCTAGTATTGTGGGGCCCACAGTTCAGTCTGGGATTGTGGTCAGAGCATGCAGGTGTGTGGCTCTGAGCTGGCAACCAAGTGTCTGCCTGGACTTGGGAACTCTTCTGTGGTTTACCATGGTAACCTGAGACCAGGCTAGATTGCTTCCCACACCATGGGATTTCCTCTCACCTGGGAAACACAATCGCTGGTGTTTTAGAGACCAGAGTTCGGTTTTTTGGTTGCTGTGCAGTCACTGATATCCTTCTGCTTGTCAGAGACAGTGTCCTCCTGGTGCCACCATCTTAGATTGGATTCTTGTTTTGTTCTTATCCCCTCTAGGTTCTTCTATTCTTTCCCAAACTCTTCCACCAGACTCCTATAGCTCTACTTAATATTTGGCTGTGGGTTTCATTGTCTGTTTTAATCTGCTTCTGGGTGGAGCCTCTCAGAGAACAGTTATGCTAGGCTCCTGTCTGCAAGCAAAACAGAGTATTATTAATAGTGTCAGGAGTTGGCTCTCTCTTATGGAGTGGGACTCCAGATAGGCCAACTGTTTGCTAGTCATTCCCTGAATCTATGCTCTATCTTTATCCCTGAAAAACCTGTAATCAGGATAAATATGGGGTCAAAGGTCTTGTGAGTGGGTTGATGTCCCTCTCCTTCCACTCAAATCCTAACTGGCTAGGAGATGGCCACTTCAGTCTCCATGTTCCCTGATGCTAGGAGTCTCACCTAGAGCTACCCCCATATGCACACAGGGATGAGCTTGTCCTGGAAATGAGCCCCCTCAGTTTCCCTTCCCACTCGCTGCCCTCTCACCTCCCATCCCCTATCTCCACACAAATGATCCCTATCCCACTCTCCTCTCCACACCCTCTTCCACCCAGTTTCCAAGATAGTTAAGCCTTTAAAGGCTAAGATCACAACCAAAAATATAAGATTTTTACACATGTTTAAACTCACTTTATCTGAGAATGTTCTTTTAGCCATTTTCAAGCACCTGGAACTGTGTCAAGCACTCTTAGTTTCTCATAGGAAACTTCATAATTTCCTCCTGTCAGATTATGATGAGTTTGAGAAGTTTTAATTTATATTTTCATTTATTTGGTACTTGGTAATCTTCTAAAATTGTTAACTTTCTTTTCTGGATTCTATTATCCTAAGTATAGAATATTCCTTTCGTCCCTAATGTCCAGAAAGATATTCTGACATTGTCTAAGACACACCCTTGTTAATTTGAATCTTTAATGCTTGTTCTTCTTGGTAAAGTAAAATATGTAGTTTATAAATAGGAAGGCCCCAAAAGGATTGCTTTGATGTCTTTTTATTTGTCTTGTTAAAAAGCTCGGTTTCTCTACCCCTTCAGGCCAATCATTGACTTTTGAAAAACAAATGAACAAACAAAACAAAAAAAAATAACAGACTAAGAATTTGGAAATTGGATGAAGTTATGAATAGGAATTTCAGGGCAGGCCTTATTGTGGACATTGCACTGTTCTCAGAGCTTTTTTGAACCTTGTATAATGGGAGAACAGGGAGAAGAGAGAGAAAAGTATGGATAAGAGCTGCAAATTGTAGGACAGCATGACAATTTTCCATGGTGTAGCATGTCAAAACATGAATGGGGGAATTTTCCACATGGCCTTATTTTATTTCATTCAATTTGGGCAAACTCCTTCCTACCATGTGTGGTATTACGTACACACCCAGCCTTTCCAAATGTGGCTGTTGAGTACTGTCACCTGGTTTGTGACCTCTGGAGGAGGTCATCATTATGACTCACATTTTTTTTTTTGACTGTCATTAACAAATCCCTTGGGACCAGCAGTAATGCTCTCAGCTATGGGCTCTTCTTAATGGCTTGAGCTGTCGTGACTGAGCTCTACCCCTATGTGGTTGCTTAAATATAAATACACATCAATTATCATTAAATGACATTAAAAATTTAGTTTCTCTGTCATCTTACTTATATTTTGAGTGCTCAGTAGCCATACATAGCTGGTGGCTAAAATGTCAGCTCTAGGGTACACTGTCTATGTCACTGCAGGAAGTTCTCTTAGAATTTGTGGGATTTTTGTTGTTGTTGTTGTTACTGTTTGTTTTGTTGTTGTTTGTGTGTGTTGTTTTGTTTTACATTTTTTAAATTTCAGTTTATTTACTTTACATTCCAAGGGTGCCCCTCCATCCTCTCCTCCCAGTACCCCTTGCCTCTCTTTCCTTCTTCCCCTCTCCCTTTGCCCCATAAAAAGGGATCCCCACTCCCCCATATCAATCCTGCCCAGCACATCAAGTCACATGAGGACTGAGCATATCGCCATCCCTGAGGGCAGGCAAGGCAGCCCTGCCAGAAGGAAGTGATCCAAAAGCAGACAATCGAGTCCATGTTAGAAATACACATCTCCACTCGCGAGGAGACCCAGATGACTACCCATCAGCGACATATGTGGAGCGGGCCTAGGTCCAGACCATGCATGTTCCTTAGTTAATGTCTCAGTCTCTGTAAACCCCATGGGAACAGGTTTGTTTTCTCTGTTGGTCTTCTTGTGAAGTTCTTTCTCCTCCAGATCCTTCCATCTTTCCCCAAACACTTTCACAGGATCCCCAGAGCTCTGCCCCATGCTTGGCTGCAAGTCCCTTCACCTGTCTCAATCCACTACTGGCTGGAACTTCCCTACAGCAGTCAAGTTAGGCTCCTGTCTGCAAGGGTAGCAGAGCATCATTAATAGTGTTCTACCATAGGTTCTCTACCATGGTTCTCTACCATGACATGGGTCTCAGTTTGGGCCAATTATTGGTTGGATATTCCCTCTATCTTTGTTCCCTCTTTATCCCTGTACTTCTTATAGGCAGGATAATTTTTAGATCAAAGGTTTTGTCAATGGGCTGTTGTTACCCTCTTTCTGCTATTCCCCCCTGACTAGTAGGTAGTCATTTCAGTCTTCATGTCCCCCCACTTTCCCTTTAGGAGGCTCAGCTAGAGTCACAAAAATATAGAATGCTTCATGAATTTTCATATCATCCTTGTGCAACGGCTGGGCTAATCTCTGTATAGTTCCAATTTTAGTTATATGTGCTGCCAAATTGAGCTATATCTCTTAGTATTTGTTAGTTTGCATGTTTCTATCTCTGACTTTTTGTGGCACTGTTTTCAGTTTCAGGTCTTGTCCTTTAGATTTGTTTCAATGCTAGGTGTAAAATTTTGTGTAAAAGGAAAATATTCAGGCAAGTGTTCTTATGTTCTAGACTCTTAGTCCCTGTACCTGAAATTTGTATTTCTATTCAGACTGTCTTTCAGTTATTGATTTTCAGATGTATGAGAATCTGGTATGAGAACCAGATTCTCCAGTGACTATGCAAGGACTATCAAATTTTATAGGTCAAGTTGTACATTCAGAACATGCCTTAGACCTAGAAAATGATATATTATTTGGAGCAATTTTAATCAAGGAACACACAGTGACCAACTTTATTCACATACTGGCAGGTACTATGTTAGTTTTCCAAATCCCAAGGAGACCATCTTTGGGCAGTAAAAAGAGTAGCAAATAGAGTTTTAATTTGTCTCTTATATTGTTATACCTAAGGTGTGCTGAAAGCCTGGAGGGAGATGAGTATATAGCTAGGCCTTACTAGCTATGGGAGTCAGAACAGAAAACAGGAGTCCAGAAACTGTTCCTTCAAGCAGTGATTTTCGATGAGATCCCAGTAGATAAGTGAATTGTTCAGATGATGAAGTTGGGAGAATGAGGTCCATAAGACATGATGTACTAGATACTAGAGTGTGACTAAAGACACCATAAACAAAATTAGTGGAGACAGAGATTGAGAACATTAACATCAGTACTGATGAAGTCTAAATAAAAGCAAATGTAGACGGCCTTGGAATGACAGGCTGAAAAGTGAGTCTTTGAGAGAAGTAGGACAGATACAAAGCACCAGTGCCAGGGAAAGATCTGACTTCTTAGTAATTTATATAGTCCTAGTTGGAAGCTTCTTGGAGTTTTGAATGAGATAAGCTGGAGAGTGAGATGTGTAGGCTTAGATTTTTCAACAAATCTACTTTATTTAGGGTTTTTCAGTGTTCCTACCCCCCCTTCTACCCACTGACCAGAGGTATGGGAGAAATTTATTACAAAAATGAAGTTGTAGACCATTTTTTTTTTTACAAGTAGTTCCTTGTAAAACAAGAGTCCACTCTTTGTTGTCCAGATAACAGCAGTCCAGTCCAAATACCAACACAAAATAGCAGCACAGGTCAGGTCAGTGAAAGCCAAAAAACTCAGGTGTATTGCTCTGAGGAAGTCCTCTAGAATGTTTCTCTCTGCAAAGTCAAGTGTCGAAGAACGAAGACCAAAAAGTGTCATTCATGCAAAAAGCCCTGTCTCACTGTCTGTGAGCATCTTTATATCTCTTCTCCTCAAAGTCCATCCATGGGTGTTTTTAGCTGGCCAAATTCACGTCCCAAGCATGAGACAACTCGCACCAAAAACAGCTTGCAGCTTGCAGTAAAACATCACAAGACACAACTGAGTCTTCAGAGAAACCAGATACTTCCACTCAGAGATGACAGTAGTAATGAAAGTGTTGGGAAGGCAGGGTTTATAAAAGTCTAAAATAAAGGTGTTAAGGACTTAAAATGAGAACTCATAAAAGGGGCAAGAGACATGGTCTCAAATCAATGTTGATTTCAAAATGGAAAATTTCTCTGTGTTTTGAATATTGATTGGATGGTGGGATAAAACAGATAAATGAATCAGAGAGGACTCTGCTTTCAGAAAAAATTTATTAATTCAAACTCTTATTCCAGTTCTGTGGTGCTGGGCTTTGACATATAGATGTTAGAAAAGTTTATGTTGCCTCTGGCCTCTCAAAGTTGTTTTATGGCTCTTGAAGTTTCCATTCTTCCATGTGTCAAAGGAATTTGAGGTATTCACTATAGTAAAGAAACAGCCTGCTAGTAATTCAATTCTGAAAATTTGTCGAAATTTAGTTTTATTTCTAATAATTTTAGTCCAGATACCAAAATTACCCCATTGTTTGAATTTCATGTTGGATTGAACCATTCAAACTTTAAGAAAGGCTGAAAGTCATCAGCACAATTTCTTTTTTTTAAATTAATTTTTATTATTTTAATATTAATCACAGGTTATTTACTTTACATCCCAGACTTAGCCCCCTCCTTTATTCCTTCCCAATCCTACCCTCCCTCCCTCAACTCCTCCCTGTCTCTTTCAAGACCACTGCTAGGGGAGGTCCTCTTCCCCTTCCATCTGACCCTAGCTTATCAGGTATCTTCAGGACTGGCTGCAATGTTCTCCTCTGTGACCTAACAAGGCTCTTCTTCCCTCAGGGGGTAGGAGGAGGTAAAGGAGCCAGTCATTGAGTTCATGTCAGAAATAGTTCCTGTTCCCCTTACTAGGGTAACCACTTGGATACTGAGTTAGCATGAGCTACATCCAAGCAGGGGTTCTAGATTTATATCCATACATGGTCATTGGTTGGAGAAACAGTGTCATAGGGAACTCCTGTGCCCTGATATATTTTGTCCTTGTGGAGCTCCTGTCCTCTTCTGGTCATACTAAATCCCCCTTTTATCATATGATTCCCTGCACTCTACCGAAGGTTTGGTTATGAGTCTCAGCATCTGCTTTGATACGCTGCTAGGTAGAGTCTTTCAGAGGCCCTCTGCGGTAGGCTTCTGTACTCTTTCTTGTTTTCTCTTACTCCCATGTCCATAACGTTTGTCTTTCTAAGTGAGGATAGATCATCTTACCCAGGGTCCTCTTTCTTGTTTATCTTCTTTAGGTGTATATATTTTAGTATATTTATCCTATCTTATAGGACTATATAAGTGAGTATATACCATGTGTGTCTTTCTGCTCCTGGGATACCTCACTCAGGATGATCTTTTCTAGATCCCACCATTTGCCTGCAAATTTCATGATTTCCTTGTTTTTAATTTCTGAGTAATATTCCATTGTGTAAAAGTACCACAATTTCTGTATCCATTCCTCCATTGATGGACATCTAGGTTGTTTCCAGTTTCTGACTATTACAAATAAAGCTGCTATAACATGGTTGAGCAAATGTCCTTGATGTGTACTTGAGATTCTTTTGCATATATGCTTAGGAGTGGTATAACTGGATTTTGAGGTAGCACTATTCCTAATTGTCTGAGAAAGTACCAGATTGATTTCCAGAGTGGTCGTACAAGTTTACATTCCCACCAGCAATGAAGGAGGGTTCCCAATTCTCCACAACCTCTCTAGCACGTGTTGTCACTTGAGTTTTTAACCTTTGCCATTCTGATGGGTGTAAGATGAAATCTCAGGGTCGTTTTGATTTACATCTCTCTGATGGCTAAGGATGTCGAGCATCTCTTTAGGTGTTTCTCTGCCATTCTGTATTCCTCTAAAGAGAATTCTCTGCTTAGCTCTGTACCCCATTTTTTAAATTTGATTGCTTGATTTATTGCTTTTTAATTTCTTTAGTTCTTTATATATTCTGGATATCAGCCCTCTGTCAGATATAGGATTGGTGAACATCCTTTCTAGTCTGTAGGCTGTTGTTTTGTTCTGATGACAATGTCCTTTGCTTTATAGAAGCTTTTCTGTTTCATCAGGTCCCATTTTTAATTGTTGCTCTAAGATCCTGTGCTGTTGGTGTTCTGTTCAGGAAGTTGTCTCTTGTGTGAAGGAGTTCCAAGGTCTTCCCCACTTTCTCTTCTAACCAATTTAGTGTATCTGGTTTTATGTTGAGGTCTTTGATCCACTTGGACTTTAGTTTTGTGCAGGGTGATAAATATGGATCTATTTTCATTTTTCTGCATGTAGACAGCCAGTTGGACCAGCACCATTTGTTGAAGATGCTGTCTTTTTTCCATTGAATGGTTTTGGTTTCTTTGTCGAAAATCAAGTATTCATAGGTGTTTGGCATCAGTCAAATTTCAAGGAAAATCCGGGTTTCAGAGTATCAGAATTTGTCTACCTGAATCCTCATTCATATTTTCAATGCATATTATTTGGAAAGCTAATTGTTTCTTTCTTTTTGTAATTATGTATTGTTTCTTTTGGTTTGGAAATTAAGTTCTGAGTTGTAACTAGAGAAATGCTTATAGATTTGTAACCCCATTCGGATTCTTATGGTGAACTTATAATGAAATCTAGAATTTCCTTGTACATGAGGACATTGCTAAAAATTTTCCCAAGTTACAGTTACCGTTATAATGTCATCTTTTAAGTTTTCAAAATAAAACAATTCCCTCCAAAAAACCCAATATCCTAATTCTCAAGTTTATAATATTAAGAAAATATAACAGATATTTGCTCATTACTTTAGATTTTACTGATCTATTTAGTGATTGCTTGGCTAAATCTATGGAGTAATAAACGTCAGGGACTATGACTGTAGTTTAGCATTTGAGTGCATGCCTCGCATAGGCTAATCTTGAAATTCAGTTCCTAGCATATACATAATGCAAAACAAGAATATATGTCTTTTTCTTAGATTCAGCCATTGCATCTTTCTTCTCTATGAGTTTATGTGAGTGTACATGTGAACGTGTGTTGTATATGTCTTTAAGTGTATATATGTGTGTACATATGTGTATGTGCTTACATGTATGTATGTGCATGTGTGTGTTTGTATGTATGTGTATGTATGTGTGCATGTGTGTGAGTGTGTAGTTGTATATGTGTATATATGTCTGTTTGTATGTGTATATGTTTACATGTGTTTGCATGAATTCTTGGAAAACAGAACCCCTCTTCCTTTAATCAGTAAAGTGTGGTAAAGTGGGAAAGAGTTATGAGGAAAAGGGCAAATATAATCAGAGCAAACAGATTCAAGGGCATTTATACATATTCTGATTTTTTTTTTACTTGAAGCATAGTGGTGTATTTTTTGGTGATGAACTATATCAAGTTTTGAAGCACAAGAAGTTTGCACATCCTTTTGGGGTGTTTGTATCCAAAGAAGAAAGGGAAGATGCTGACTTTTATTGTTCTCAGGAGAAGGCACATTCATAAAAACATTGTTTTCTAAGAGTGTCCTTCTTGGGCTGCCACCCTTTGAGAGAGGTTTAGTAACATATCAAAATAGCTTTATGAAGGAGTAAATTTGTGTTTCATTTTACTAAAATTTATGAGATGCAATTTTAAAAATAAACAGTGCCCTTCAATGAAATCCAGGATTTCTTTGGATAGAAAGGAAAAGTATCTATTCAAGCAATTTGTGACTTAATGTCAGCTGACACTGAGTTGAAAAACCTTAAGTTGTATGTTATATTATTTTGAATGTCTTGGCTCCCTCTTGGGCAGCTGACTAACTCTGCAGTCTTGCTCCCATGGTAACTAGCTCTCAAACTTCAATCTGCACTCGGTTTGCTTGTAGCCAACAGAACATGTGTGACCTTTTGTGTGCCAATTCCACCTGGCTGATAAGAAATCATAATTGTCTGACTTTTACTTCTAGGCATCACAGCAGAAGTGCTGGTGGTGACCTCATTTGATGAACTTCAGAGACGGGCATCAGAGGCAAGAGGGAAGATCGTTGTTTATAACCAGCCTTTTACTAGCTATGGAGTAACAGTGCAGTACCGTGTGCGGGGAGCTGTGGAGGCTGCCAAGGTGGGGGCTGTGGCATCCCTTATCCGATCAGTAGCTTCCTTTTCCATCTACAGGTGAGTTGTGATATTTGTTTGAAGTATTTTCAAAAACTAGTTTTCCATGGAAAAGAAGACAGTCTGAAATAAAAACAAATCATTGAAATAAAAGTACTGATAGCTCATGGAATCTCCTCCCCATTCCACTTTTGGTAATTTGATTGCAATATTTGCTTTGGCCTTTTTTGGATCCCAAGCATCATTTATAAATTCCTCTGAAAAGTTTTCCACATTCAAAATGATCCCATAACATTCTTTATGTAATTAACACACTGTGTGTTTCATTGGAGGGAAAACTGAGTTCATGTCTGAGTTTCATCCAAAATTCCTATTGACTGCAGAGAAGGCTAGGCTGTTTTCCATGTTGCTACAGAAGTGAAATTAAAAGCAGAGTGGGTGACATGATGGGAAATGTCATGTCGTAGAAATAAACCTTTCTGGACAACTGTGTGCACTGCTTACGTTGCTTCTTTACTGTCTCTGGCTGTGTAATTCTCCTACAAGATGATTTTTAAGCCTAAATGAGCTAAACTTATGAAAATGTTTGTTTATTTGTAGATGTCTGTATAAATAAATGTTTGGTAGACTTATCTTTTTGGAGCCTGTTGAGGTTATGGCAACATATTTATTTATTTTGTATTACTTTAAAATATTTTATTGTGTATAGTATTTGCCTGTATATATGTATTTAGGAACTGGAGGTAGAGATGGTTGTTACCTGCCTTGGGGGTATCTATCATCTACAAGAGCAGTAAGTGCTCTTAATCCATGAATATCTACTTTTAATTTTTAATAGGTGTATTTCTTCCCTCCATCTCCAGGGTTTTGCTATGTGCCCAATCTGTACTTGAACTCTTGAGGTCAAATGACTCTCCTGCCTCTGTCTCCTGAGTAGATGAAACTGCCAGCATGCACTCACTTTCTGAAGCCAACATGCTTCATAGAATCTTAGCCTTAGAAAGACATTCACGATTGCAATGGATAAAAGCTTTAAAAACTGACCTATGTCTATTTGGCCTGGATTAACAGTCATAGATGTCATAGTTACATTCTGATATGAATAAAATAAAATACTTGAAAAGCTGATAAAAGAAGCAACATTTAATGTATCCTGGTCTGATATGTAATATATATATATATTTTACATATATATGTGTATATATATGTATATATATATATATACATATATATATATATAACTAATTTCAGATAGTTTATTCAAGTCCTAGAGTTGGATATTTTGTTTTATTATAAAGGAAAATTGTATTTTTTTTCATAACTGCTGTTTGGAGCTGAATACACAGCTGGTTGACCTTAATTAGTACTCTTCACTCCTTAAAATAAAATCAGCAGCTGGGATTTGCAGTTAGAAAATAGTTGTACAGAAGTACAAAGTGCAGGATGGAGACTGTTTTTATTTTACATGGATAAGATGTCTTCCCAGGGGAACAAGATAGTGAGGGTTAAAAACTGCCCACTAGGAAGTTACACTGGTATCATGGAGCTAAAAATAATGTTCTTTGTAAAGTCTTTAATGGTTTCAAGACTGTTGAAATTATGATTGGATCATATCCTTTTGGATGGTTAATCTTCCCAGGAGAGAAATCCAAACATGGCTAGCTTACTTCCCAGAATACCTCAGCTACTCCTTGGAATAACACACTCAGCAATCTGTGGTCATTCACCATGATTTCATTTGTCATGAGGCATAAATTATGGAATGAGCTTATTGCTGTATAAAACTGGAACACAGCCAGGAATCTTTATTTAAGAACTGCAACTCATAAGGCTAATGTATTCCCAGATGACTTACTGCACAGCCATCCACCAGGCTCATTGGCATGTTTTTATTTGTTTGATTTTTGTATTTATTTTTCTCTCAGCATAATAAAGACATCTGGAAACCTAGGCTATGGCTTAGTGTGAGAATTGCACAGCGTGGGCCTTATATGTTAGACGTTAAAGCTTGAAGTCAGCAGCTTTTACTGTGTAAAAGCAACTTTTCTTCATGGTTTTAGATCTGGCCTGATTATAGCTTTCCATGGGCTTTTACAATTCAACAACACGTCACTGGCCTCTTAATGCTGTAACCCCATTTTGGCAACATATTTGAATGTAAAAATAATACTTGCCATAGCATACCATGTACTTTACCTTGATACATGCCATGTTACTTATTGTGACAACAATCTGAAGGACCATGCAGATGGGGCCATTTTCTCCATTCCTCAGTAGTAAAGCAAACATTCAGAGAGTTGGATACATGAGCATGTTTACTTCTTTCATCCTGAAAAATAAAAATCAAGATAATACAAAAATCTTTGTTTCTTCATAGCTTTTTTCAAAGACCTAGTTTCTGTATATTTCTATCTGTAATTCCTTATCTTTCATTTACCATGAGTACTTTAGTGTGGCTTTTTGAGTACAAAGAAGGAACTTGTTAGAGTCACAAATAGCCCCTAATTTCTAAAATAGACTGGACTTTCAGGGCTTCTTTTTCAAATATGCCTCTTCCTATGTGCCTCTTTCCCCCATGTCCCTCTCTCCCCCAATATCACTCTCTCTCCCTATCTCCCTGTCCCCCACAATGTCCCTTATCTAACTCTCTCCCCTATTCCCTCCTTCACCCTTTACTTTCCTCTCCTTGTGTCCTTCCTTCCTCCATAACTCCCTCTTTCCCCAGTGTTCCTCCTTCTTTTTACATCCCTATGTCTTTCTATGTTTCTTTTCTCTGTGTCCCTCTTTCCCCAAATGAATGTCCCTCTCCCTTTGTCCTTCTCTCCCCATGTTCCTCTCTCTCCTTGTCCCTCCTTTTCCTGTGTCCTTCCCTCCTCTATACCTCTCTTGACTTGTCTTCTTCTCTCTCCCAATGTCCCTTCCTCTTCCTATGTTCCTCTCTCTCTCTCTCTCTCTCTCTGTATCTCTCTCTCTGCCCATGTTCCTCCCTCTGCCTGTCTCTGCCTATCCTGTGTCCCTGCTTCATCCATACCTCCCTCATCCTCTGTCCCTCTCTTCCCAATGTTCTTCCCTCTTCCTATGTCCCTCCCTGTCACTCTATCCCTTCCTCTCCCATCCCTCACTCTATGTCCCATTTCCCCCCCATGTTCCTCCCTCCTTCATCCTCCTCTCTTCCTCAATTCCTCTCTCACCCATTACACTCCTCATGTCTTCCTCTATGTCTCTCCCTTTCCTTGCATCTCTGTCCTCCCACTACCCCTTTCTCTGACTTTATCCTTCCTTGTTCTCTCCCTCTCTATTTATCCCTTCCCTATTTCTTTGGCCAGAGACTAAAATGTTCTGCTTAAGCATTTTCTATGAGTTCTTTATAAATATTCTGCCATTAACTCCAGGCCCATCTATCCACCTACCTGTTGATTCTCCTTTCAGTGTTTTAAGTTGATACCAATTTTAGTGTTTTCAAAAACCAAACTCTTTCTCTTTACCTTTTTCTTTTGTGTTTCCTTCCTATCACACAGTCCTTAGTTATATTTTTCTCTTTCCTTGTCCTCATTTCTAGTAGTCAACAAGTCTCTTAGCTTCTGCCTTATGTCAAGCATTTCAACAGATACAAATGGAACAGCCCCATTTTGCAGCATCTCTTTAGAACTTTATTTCTGCAGTTTTCTAGCATTGCATATTTTCTTTGCTCCCCTCCATACAGTGTCTCACTGTCACAGTCTGTCCTTCATTGTTGATTCTCAACCATAGTCCAGGTGATCTACCTCTTTTTGGCACATCATCCTATATGTCTTCCATATTCATATCCAAAACTGCTGGAGGCAGTTTTGATATGTGCATTGCTAGCATAGACTACTGCTAACAAGCTTTACTTCAGTCACTTAATGCAATAAGAGTCCGCTTATTGTCCACAAAGTAGTTATTAGGAGGCAGTGCTTCTTCTCATCTCCTGTCTCTACAGCTCTGAGACCTGAGTCTTCTGCGTGTACCTGAACAAGAAGCTGGCAGAGAGCTGATGGTCCATAGGGAGGTTTTCCTGTGTTTATTCCTGTCTAGGTCCATAGACAGCACACCATCTTCACTCATATTCTATTATCTAGCATGCCAATACATGGAGGCTAGGAAATCCAGTTTATCTTTATGTCCAAGGAAAATGGATTTGGTGAAAAACTTTTCAGTTTGATCAATTGTCTGACTATCCACTATGCTCTAAGTTCCAGGAAAACATTGATTGTACACACATACACACAAACAAACAAATGCACACACACAATTACACATACACATAAAGACAGGGTTAGAAAGTATACATAAAATACATAATAAATGATATAAATAAAATCTATTTATAAGAGCATAACATTTGATCTCTAGCAGGATTCTAGTAACATCTGTTGACGAAATGAACTTGCTTGAGATTGTAGGGTAAATGACAGTGATAACAAGCCAGCTGACCGAGTTGCTAGACTTCACTGACCATGCTGTATAAATCCTTCATGTAAGCTTAGAATATTTCCATCCTTTTAGAGCACTTTGTTTTGTATTTGAAAGAACCTATCCAAATGCCCAAATTATAAATATATTTTTTGAAAAAATATTTTTGAACAATGATTTTTTTGAGTTGATGATTAGAAAAAAATAGTACCCTTTTCTCTGGCAAAGTTTTTTTCCTACACCTCTATGAGAGAAGCTGGTGCTAGACTCAGGAATAGAGACAGCAGAAGCCAGCAATGCCAAGGAACAGGGTATGAATTACAATTCATTGCTGTTTGTCTTCATGATTAAAGAGTCCTCACATGACCGTTGTAATTGATACCTTGAGCAGTATTTAGTGTAACCACTAATATCAGCACCCATTTTGGAAGAACACATGAGTATGTGATACCCTCAGAAGACAACTCTTTGCTTTCTGACAGATCACTTCCAGGCACTTGTTATTTTTCTTAACTACCAGGGTTAGAGCTTCTGTACTCAAATTTAGGTCAAATATGAGACTTTTCATTTTATTGATGCTCTTGTAATAATCTGACCTTTCATTCACCATTGAGCTCATGAGATCA